CATTTGTCCTAGACCTTATTCCAGAAAAATTCTCCAAATTTCACCAAAACCTTACCTATCATCCAAATCCCCTTGCACAATCTCTATCCAGCACCACCCATCCTTACAATCCTCCTCGAAGGTTGAAGCGGCAGTGGCCCAGAGACCTTTTGTAAATAAGCATCTATTGGAGTTTTGGCAATGGCCAGATCCTCCACTCAAGCCCGAGTGTGTATGATTAGGTTAGTTCTTTTGTTTATATACATTTATTTTATTTTATTGTATTTATTTTTATTTTATTTTATTGTATTTATTATTATTAAGTTTCTGTATTATTTATTTTTTTTTTATTGTAAATAGAGTGTGAGTGTGCTTTCTCTGAACACTATTATAAATGTCCTTGATGTGAATGTAATATTTCTAAATAAACAAATATAAAAAAAAACTGCAAATCACGTAAAATAAATAAAATGTAGCAAGAAATTGCAACTATTACAAAATAATTCTGAATAGTATGTCAGTAACAGAAAATTGTATTGGTTCGTACAGATTAGGGTGGGCCGAAAAGATGTCCGATATTATCTAGATTCATATTGACATTTTCCTATCAAAAACTAGTTTGTTAGAAAAAAAAATTAGAACAAGTTTCACAACCAAACAATGAAAAAAAAATTTTGTAATGAGGACTAGTGATGTCGTCTTCTTTCATGTTTCTAGCTGTAGTTAACGTTAGCAGATATTTTTTGACTAGAAGCGCGACACCCATGTGTGGTATAGTGGTGGCGGAGGGGAGAGGGGTATATGGCCCCGTTAGCCATCTTCTTTCATAATGAAAAAAGCACATTTTACAGTTAATCGAATGAAAAATGATCAAATAGTATGAAAACACGGGGTGCCCAACTCCCCCCCCCCCAAGTTCGATGGCGCAAGAACCTACCCTCCTCTCCCTCCCAATGTTTTCCCCTTGCCCCTTATTTTGAAAATCTTCATTCCGAAAATGCATAACCCCGTTAAAATGTAACCCCCTCCACCTCAAAAATTCAAAAACTATGCTATGCCCCTCTCTTAAAACTTTTTAAGGCATAACTTGCGCCATAAAACTCACGCCTTCTGTGTGCACGCCTGTGTGCGGTTTGAAAAATACAATAAATCTGGGTATGGATAATAGAGGTTACGAGCGTATTAGCCAGTGGATGGTGGAGGTGGGACGTCAAGTGAACCGCCTTCAATGTTTCTTGTTTCTGTTTGCTAACGCATTGTGGCCTTTGGTGATTGTTAAGGGAAAACAGTATTTGAATCGAGTGGAGAAGCAAGGAGCACTGCTGGCATCTCTTGGCAGAGCTTAGAAGCAACAAAGACTGAACAGAGATCCAGAGGACCATGTCCATTTAACACTGGAGCATAGCTGGCCAGCAAGGAAATTGCATCTTACAGCCTTCATAGAAGAGATATAGTAGAAGCTGAGAAGAGTTAGGAAGGAGAGGAGAGGAAAAGGAGAATATAAGGAAAATGCAGCAAGTAGATTAATTCATTTACAACCACCAGCCACCTAATCCACAGTTAAAATAGTTGTAATAGTCATGCTAAATTTATTAACCCGCTAACCATTCTTTGTAATAGATCCGACTTCAATAAATCAAGTTATAACATGAATATATTAAGAAATATATTCAATCTGTACCACCCAATAGCTTAATTATACATTAACCAGATATCTCATATACAGTCGGCAGCAGTAAAATAAATGTAGCACCTACAAAAGGAGAATTATCATGTAAATATCCCTAACAGCCGTGGAAGGGAATGGCAAAATAAATTAAAGTAATAAAAGTTTACAAGTATTTTACAGAATATGACTCGAGAAATTTATGCGGGCGGGCGGACGTATAAAAGTTGTGACGTCACTATATTTTTCATCTAGATTCCATTAATCTTCTTTTATTGACAAATGATAATAAATTGATACTTTTGTTTGTGTGTTAAGCAATATATAAATATTTAGTTGTTACTGCGGTTTTTATTTTAATTTACTAATCTTTAAGTTATTTTATTTTTCTTTATTGTATATGGTTATTCATTGTTATTTAGTTATTATTTCGCGTCTGTTTTATTTAATTTATATTATCTGTATATTTGATGTGAATGTACTCTTTCCTCACTATAATCATTGTTCATGTGACAGAATGTTTATTACTCACTTAAAAAAAAAATGTTTGCTAATAAAACCATTCATTACAAGTGAATGAATACTTGAATTTTCCCTTCATTTAAATATTAAAAGTATGGGCACACTAAATGCCGATATTATTATTGATATTTGGATATTTACAAGCCCAAGGTTAACAGATTAAATCTTGGTTAATCTTTAAGTTAGTGTTGTTATTTGTTTGGTCGATTTATTCCATAATATATATATATATATATATATATAAAAGATAAAAGATATTCAAAATTATTTTATACCCAAAGTCTTTGTATGGAATAATGTTTAGAATGATAATTGCAAGAAATTCCCTAGTTGGGCAAATATAAACATGAATTGAAATAAAATATTTATCATTATTCATACAAATAAGTAATTTACTTTGTACATAAAATAATTTCAATCTTGCTTGTAAATTCTCATTTTAGAACTATGTCGAAAATTAAATAATTGTGCATTGATACATGGTAAATTATAGGGGATGAAATATCTTTGTGATGACGAAACGTTGACCTCTGGCAACGAACTCACTGCAGCAGTAATTTTTTAGCTGTGTTCTTCCGTTTGAATTCCCATAAATAATGTTTGAGAAACATTTTTTTACTGAGAATTAACGAACAATATTCAATTTGTTTTGTGGGTTCCTCTCCTGTTGAATTGGAATGGCGGGGAAAATTTTGAAGTAGCATTAATTGTATTGTGGTTAGCTATATATGATACGCTCATTAAACACACAGGCCATTCTAAAATTTGATACTTACCTTTTGATAAAAATTTAACTTTCACATGTTAGGATGAAAGGGTAGCTGACCTATGGTTCCGTAGCTCTCGCTCTCGATTCCATATTGAGCAGCTGATTAACAACTATATTATATTATAGTAAATGCCCTCGCCCTCCCCGCCGCGATGCCATTCACACTTCTCTCATTCACAAAATTAGATTTACATGGTTACTCACAACTTGAAGCCAGTTTAGCAACTTTATTTTACCCTGAGGGCAATAGTCACAATTACAACTGCTGTTAGACATCCTAGACCTTTCACAACTATTGAGCAAAGTATTTAAAAAAATAAAAAGTTGGAATAATTCAATCAATGGTTTTTTTCACGTTTTAATATAAAATATTTCAACTTGTTAAAAATATTTTTGGACGAGCAACATAACTAATAAATTTAAATATACAAATATCTATTGATTGTTTAAACTTTTAGGTACTAACGTAATAATGCCTATCACAATTAATCAATAAATTAATTTCGCGTTTGAAAAATATCTTCACTGATTATGAAATGATCCATTAGTGGACAGATATTTCTATCCAAAATGTTTATGATATCTTCTACCAAAACAATTGCCAGTGTCACAAAGGATTATACTTTGTCTGTTTTTTTTTATTGGCAAAATAGTAGCATACATAAGGCAAATTTGAAGGAAGTGAAACCATGCGTTAGGTTGGGATCACATAAAGAACTAAGAAGCGAAAGAGCAAATGGTCGAGTTGGCTCTCAAACTCCCTTCCACTTTCTGCTAAATAATAATAATAAACTGATTTGGTTACATCACATACACAAAATAAAAATTCTTTGTAATTATTCCAGCATTTAGAAATTTAAAACACTGGCAAAGACAAAAGACAATAGGTGTTGCCTCTAGCTTATGAAGGTAGAGATAGTTTAATTGCAAAGTGGATGCCAGTTCTCTAAGGCCTGGTCTGTATTAGGAAAGAAGGAATAACCCAACTTTCAGTGATGGTATTAACGTCCAAGAAGACTGGAATATGCATTAAGATATATTTTGGAGAAATAGTTTGTGGAAATGAGGTTTGAGGCTGGCATTAAGAGGTGCGGAGAGGCAGCAACACATACACACCTTACACCTAGGCCTCTCAGCCATATCAACTTAATTACCACCTGCAATAAATAACATGACTAAATTGGAAACGATTTACAATTAGAAATTTTAGAGGCATTATTTCGAAATATGAGAATATTATCTGGCTGAGGTATTGGAAGGCTTAGTGAAAACTAGGAGCCCTTTGGCTGCTACTTGCCACATATTGATATTCCATATAAAGATATTGTATTTACTATTCTTCTACAGTTTTTTCCTGGCTGATATATTAACTTTATCATTTCTTAAAGGCATTTGTTTGTTGTTACGTTTTATTTTTTTTTAATAATTTAGAAAATCCAACGATGGAGGCTTTATTTTGTCTCAATCATCTTTCCAGTCAGCGTTTAAAAAGTAGGTCCTAGCAAAGCAATTTGTACAAATATTTTGGTCTATTGTGTTAAATGGAATATTGTAATCGACCAAGGAAAAAATATTAATTCTTTCCTTACATAATACATAGGGTCTCGTTATTTCCATATTGTTTTGCCATTTCTTCACTAAACAAAATTGTCAGCGAAATATTGGCAAGGGCCAACTAGTTAATTAATATTTATAATGAACCATTAATGATAAATTATTTGTTTTAAAGTGGTCAAGTACATTTGAATAAACTGCTAACTATTTTAACTAACAAGTGCATAAAATACAAATGGATTGATAAGAGAACTTGACAACTAATTGAAATGGAGCAGTATACTACTCTTCAATGAGGAGAAAATTTAGAGTATTTGGTTGGGATGGTTGTGTAAGCCTGCGGTGGGGAGTTAGGAGAGGGGGGGATTTGTTATGGTATTCCCCCCACCCTGGGGCAGAATAGATCATTAGGGAGAAAGGGAGGGAGAAGGTGGGCGTCACCGGGCCAATGGGGAACCAGATCGATGAGCCAATAGGGTGAGAGCTAGCGGGGCGGCCTCAGGTCCAGTCATGGCCGCGCGGGAGCCGTGGGCCCGCCGCAGCAGGTCTTCCTTCCTCATCGACGATATTTTATTCAGGCCTCCTCCTCCGATGGTTAGTCATCTTTTTACTTACTTTAATAATTACACTTTATAAATAAGTCAAGTATACATTTTTTTTATTTCTATCAGTCATTCATCAAGTGTATTATGATAGAAAACTGCTAGTACACTCTTCATGTCTAAAAAAGAAATTGCTTTAAGGCGTACAAATTTTATTAAAACATATTATAAAACACCATGACTAGGTAAATAAAGCAAATTAAAAACAGTAACTAAAATATTTGAAATATACATCATGAAATACAACACATGAAATATTTTAGTATGGGAAAGTATAGTCTTCATGAAAGAGTCGAATTCGAGTTCACGACGTAAAGAACATATTTCGAGATCTCCAATCGAATCCAAATAATCGAACCTTGCAAAAATGTCTAAGTTTGTGTGTGTGTGTTTGTTTGTATCTGTGCATGTCATGAATCAATCTCAAAACGAAACGTCAAATGGAAATGGAAATTGAAAATATACAATTACCATTTCTCACAAACATTTTCATTAAAATCGACTCACCGGATATGGTACATTATTAATTAATAAATATAGGTTATTATTATGGTACCACCTAACCCTTTCTTACTTTTTTTTTTGTTTTAAATATTATCTATTGATTGATTGAGCATGCTTTGCGCTTTAGCTGAGTGGAATACAGTTGAGCTGTAGTGGAATACTATTGTATCCCCTCTCCCTCTCTCTCTCTCTCTCTCTCTCTCTTCTCTCTCTCTCTCTCTCTCTCTCTCTCTCTCTCTCTCTCTCTCTCTCTCTCTCTCTCTCTCTTCTCTCTCTCTCTCTCTCTCTCTCTCTCTCTCTCTCTCTCTCTCTCTCTCTCTCTCTCTCTCTCTCTCTCTCTCTCTCTCTCTCTCTCTCTCTCTCTCTCTCTCTCTCTCTCTCTCTCTCTCTCTCTCTCTCTCTCTCTCTCTCTCTCTCTCTCTCTCTCTCTCTCTCTCTCTCTCTCTCCTCTCTCTCTCTCTCTCTCTATCTCTCTCTCTCTCTCTCTCTCTCTCTCTCTCTCTCTCTCTCTCTCTCTCTCTCTCTCTCTCTCTCTCTCTCTCTCTCTCTCTCTCTCTCTCTCTCTCTCTCTCTCTATCTCTCTCTCTCTCTCTCTCTCTCTCTCTCTCTCTCTCTCTCTCTCTCTCTATCTCTCTCTCTCTCTCTCTGTAATCTGTAATTTTTGTTTGAACTATCATAACTATATTGTTTTCCAAATTTATATGGATAGATAAAATCGTTACAAATATTTCACTTAATTTCTTCAAAATGAAAATTGTTTTTCAGCCTAGGAATTTGTGACAGAGCTTGTTCAATATTTATTGAGGATTTGGATGAGAATGTATTGCCAGCTCAAAGGTCCAGCGGGAGAATTGCTCGAAATGATAGTTGGAACGGTGGAGGGTTAAGGCCACGAGGCTCCTCAAAACATTCATGTACTAACTACCCGTAAAAAAATTATTTATTTGTATTGATGTTTCCAATACATGATGTTTACACTGTCCACAGTATTGGTCATTTGTTTAATTGTTTTAATTGAGTAGCTAAATTTCGAATGATAAGCTTTTCCGATACATTCATTAATAGCATAACTTTTCTTTGATAAAATTTAACCGGAACCGCTTTGACATGTTGAAACCAACTCTGTGGAAATGACAAGAAGCGGCTTAGACTTTAAATTCTTCAACCGAATTGATTGGATTAATATTCTCACAACATGAGCTCACATGCTCCCTGCTGACCGTTGTGGAAAATCTTCGTCTAAAGTCTGTCCGCCTCCGTTATACAGAAGGTCCGCTATGAAGTCATTTAAATAGTAAAATTATTCACAACAACCTCGGATTACAAAATAGTCCGCGTCATATCTTGATTGTATGTACTAGTAACATAGCTACCCAGCAAACATTTTTGAGATGACGGTGGCAAAATGTAATCCAAAAAATGAAATAAAAATAAATTTATGTATATCTTTATATATTAGTTGTTTTTTTTTATGCACGGATACGTTTGAATATGTCAACTAAGTAATTGAATATATTGAATTGAATATTTTTATCTTTATTTAAAGATTTGAAGCAGTGGCATGAATTCGCAATTCTCCGATTCTTCAAGTTTGCCACGGAAGGCGTGATTAAATCTTTACGTAAAAACGGAAGGGTGGACATGAATTAATCATAAAATTCTAGGATATGTAGCTACATTTAAAATTATACTTGATATCTGCAAAATCATTATCTGCAGAAAGATTATTTTTTAAAGCATCATTAATAATTAGAAAACAAATAAATAGGTTAGCTGACAAATGGAGACCGGATTTTCATGCAGTGAAAAACCGAAAAACTTGCAGTATACAACTCAAAATGTGTAAAAACCCAACGAAAAGGTATAATTGTGTTTATAATATCTTATAAATGTATAGAGCATAGTCCATGCTTATAAATATAAAAATACTTAATTATAAAATGCTTATCTCCTCTTTAGTTTGAATTAGAGTGCTTAAATTAAAGTTAGGTGTAACATGTTCTGACGTGAGAAAAAACATAATTCTAATTCAACATTAAGTTAATCGTATACTTCATAACGAAACCAACATTTTTGAATTGAGGCTTCATGTTACAGGTGTGGGTCAATCAGAAATTTTAAAAAATGTTGATTTTGAGTAAAGTCTAATCTCGTTAGTTTTTTATTATAAACTATAGCGAGTGGATAGACTAATCCTATTGGCGCCCTTTTCTTAGAACTATTGACCAACCTGTTTGTTTGTCAGTGATTACTTTCATATCTGTATCATTGGAAAATGGTAAATTAATTTATAAATATAATATTATTTTAAAAATATAATGCAAACATTTGTTTTGTAACCGCGAATAATTGAACCATGAGAATAAGGTGTATATAATTTGACAGCATATACTACATTAAATTGAAAGTATAATAAAATAATACATCGAATTATACAATTATTAATGCAATAAAATGTTTCATTTACTTAAATTGTGAAATTTAATGGCTAATGCCCGAGCGCATGACAATTCCGAACTTTTAATGTATTACACAACATAGTGACATGCGAACGGTCGGAACGACGTCCCTGTTTTTAACAATAAATGCCGTATAGAAATAAATAACAAAATTGAATCAATATTTACATAGAAGCATATGCATATGTAATAGAGGAAATTTTGTTTAAACTTTTAATATGCTATTTAAATCGAAATTAATTGCTTAAAGGACAAAAAATGCAATACCATGCCACAAAAACGAGCAATTTAGCCAGAATAGGCCAAATCGTGCAATTTCGTGAATATCCAATATTTCAATAAATTATTTTACATGTCGTGAAACGGATAGGTAACCGGCTTTGGAGCTTTTACACACTAACGAATATAACATGCAATAAGAAAATCCTGTCTATTAATAATCAATCAGATTTGTATTACATCTTTGTCAAGAGTATAAGATATAAGTAATGTAATCATAGGTTAAATCTATTGTACTCTACTTTAATTTCTATTGTATTTTTTACCATCCTACCGCTACTAGGTAAGGGGTCTTTAGTTTCCATCTACGGTTTTCATCGGATCAAGCGGAGAGCTTCTAGAGTAAGAAAAACACATTTTTAGCCATTTGTCTAACTATTTGTGCCAACATTTTATTTTTCCAAATTTTAGAAACAAACCTATTTTCCTACTTTACAATCAAACTATTTGAAATAACTAAAAAAGGTATCTCTAATTCCACCAGATTGTTTCATATGAGTGAATGAATAAGTTGGTATCCTCACCTTGGGGACAGTAACACCTTAGCTTTTCTTACATTCACATTGAGATATTTATTCTTGTGGTTGAGCTAGATATATTTTAATGTCACCATTCCATTCCTTAGAAGAAAAAAAATTAAGAAATTAATACCAATACTTATTTTCAATCTAAAAAAAAACACACGCCCAAAACAAAGTTTAACGTGTTTATACTAAATAACAGGTTTTAATCACCTGATTAACAAATGAACGATAAGCAATGACAGTAGTTTGTCTAGCTCATCTGTTTGTCTAGTTCTGTGTGTTTTAGTGTGAGTGACTACTGTGACACAGTTCAATTTATGATTATCATGAGAGACACCATTAATTTATTCACTTTTGTAGAACAAACATGCTTTTAACTTGTGGCGAGGTACATAGAAACGGTGCTGCTGCTGTTCGAAGATATCGTGAAAAATTTCCTAATCAAGGATTCCAAATCGTAAAAGGTTTGAGGCCATTGAAAGACGCCTTAGGGATAATGGTACGCTAAAACTTATACAAGTAAACGCCGGCCGACAAAGATTTCGACGAACTGCAAACGTTGAAGAAGAAACACTCGATGCTGTTCAGTTATCTCCTACTACTACTAGTACCAGAAGATTGTCACATCGTTTCGATGTTTCCTCTACCAGCGAATGGCGAACTTTATGCGAGCAACAATTGTATCCATTTTACGTATCGAGTAGGCAACATTTGTTAGCACAAGATTATAACAAGCGCAGAAATTTCTCCCAGTGGTTAATTCGACAATGCACACGAGATCTTAACTTCCTGATATGCATTTTGGTTACTGATGAATCTTGCTTTACAAGAAACGGGATTCTTAATTTTCGAAATACCCATACTTGGGCTGAAGAAAACCCTCATACGACTGCTGTTGGACATTACCAACATACCTTTTCTTTAAATGTCTGGTGTGGTCTTCTAAGCGACATCATCGGCCCCTTCTTTTTGCCACCTAGGCTGTCAGGTATATCTTACTTGCATTTTTTGCAAAATAATCTTCATGAACTCCTAGAAGATATTCCGCTAGGCATTAGGCAAAGGCTGTGGTTTATGCATGAGGGTGCTCCAGCTCACTTTTCTAATAGTGTCATTGATTGTTTAAATGCTTATGGAGCCCGATGGGTTGGTCGAAACGGAGCTGTTAAATAGCCACCAAGATCTCCTGATTTAACGCCATTAGATTATTTTGTGTGGGCTGGATGAAGTCTATGGTTTATTCTGCGGCAGTTGGCAAGCAAGAAGAACTAAGAAATCGGATCGTGGAAGCCGCAGTAAGTATCAAGCACCATCCTGATGCTATACGAAGAGCCAGAGAATCATGGATTCCTCATGCTGAATGTTGTATTCAACCAAACGGAGGCCCCTTTGAACAGCTAGATGTTGTAATAATAATAAATAAATACTAATAATAAATAATAAATCATTAACCTTTGATAACTGTAATAAATGAGTTTGAGGTACATATTAGTATGAACTTTTTTGTTTATTTTGTGTTATTGAACATATAACTAAAATAGTGCCATGCAATTACGAAACACCCTGTATAACGTATGGCACATAACTATATTAAAGTTTATTGTTAATCTGGGGAAAATGGTTATTATATTGTTTACATCCACGGCACAGGTATTGAGGAACATAAAAAAATGTTTATGTTTTCGAATGATTTTTAAGAAATTACAAGAGGAGCAAATGTACTGAATTACCCTTTTGAGCATTACGAACTTACCAAACATTTAAAATGGATCCCGTTGACCTAACTAAATGTTTTTTTCGCTCAATCGACGCCCTTTTCTATCCATTAAAAATGGAAAAGGGGTTTATTAGAAATAAAGAATGATTTTATAACAATTGAGTGAAAGGTGAAATAATTGGTTAGCCAAATCCAGCCTCTTTTCTACACGTTTTATACGTGTTAATACTTCAGTGAGACCCACAGGCTTACAATTTATTTTAATCTCCAGAAAATCTGGCCCTGGATATGTTAGATCTGTAGCTTTGAATGGGTATTGGAAGTTTTAGTTGAGGGAAGAAGGTGAAAAATAGTATTATGTTCACTTTTTGGCGATCTGGGACCAACCAATGTGAGCCGTATAAACGCTCAAAATAAAAATATTTCCGATTGTAATGACTATCGAGCAATTTCACTCATTCCGGTATCTTATAAAATATTCCCTGTAATCTCAACTAGTCGAATCACGGAAGACGCCCTAGTACGTAATACGTGTCTAGTAGGCACTAGAAATAGATAACTAGATAACTAGAAAAAAACGAAATTTGAGGGGAGATTAAGGTTACGCTGAAGGTGGGAAATGCTTGTTATTTTTCAGTGACAGAACTACTTAGCTCGCTCCTCTTGTTCCGGAACTTAAAAATTATAATCTATAAAACCATTATCTTACCTACCGTTCTTTATGAATGCGAAACGTGGCCGCTTACATTAAGGGATGAGCAGCGTCTTAAGGTTTTTGAAAATAAAGTATTGCGTAGAATATTCGGACCGGAGAAGGAAGAGTTAACCGGAGAGTTCAGACGGTTACACAACGCCGAATTGCGTGAACTGTATCCGGGTAATATAATTGAGGTGATTTCATCGCGGCGAATCAAATGGGCTTGTAAAGTTGTTGGGCTTAGTAACGAGAGAATTCCTAAAAGGTTAATATTTGCTGTGCCGAATGGTAAACGTCCGTGGGGTAGACTGAAGCGAAGTTGGGAAGATTGCATTAAAACCGATCTGAAGAGACTCGGTTTGGACGGCGAATGGTAGAGGGATGTGTGTAATAAGCGATTGGTGGTGTCGGCATCGAACCTTTGCGTTCGCTAAGCCTTTGTCAATATTATTATTATTGTAACATAAAGGAGTAGTTAACTATATAATTCAGTCAATTGTCTCCACATCTAAATTAGCGTTATTTATTCAATATTATCTAGACATAGATGATCTGTCATTTTCAATAAGAGTTGTTTATAGGCATACTCGTTTGGAACATAACGACTTAGTTCGAAATTTATCACAACCTCTTATGTTAGTCTTTGATGAACTTAAAATGTTCTCTAATGGAATATGAAAGAAAAAAAAATCTTTGAAGATTTGATTCATTTAAAAACTGTTCATTCATTTTAATCGAAGATTAAAAAAAATGTGTATGAAATTAAAAAGCAATGTATCAATTTTTTTTTTAAATTTAGATCACCAACCAAATCCTTAAATCCCATCATATTTCCCATCTTCTCCGTCGATGCGATGGCTCCTGGGCAGCGTCTGATGAAGATAAAGCTGAGGAATTAGCCAGACACCTCTCCAGAACATTCACCTCTCATCCGGAATCCAACCCCACCCATACCACAACAGTAGAAGAATTCCTTACATCACCCATTCTACTTTCCTTACCACCTAAAACAATTAATCCTTCTGAGGTCAAACATCACTTACAAAAACTTCCTCTCCGTAAATCTCCTGGATACGACCTCCTTACCTCTCAAATCCTTCGACAACTTCCTCCTAAAGCTGTTATATTTCTCACTTACTTATACAATACCATCCTTAGAACCACCCACTTTCCTCTTTTGTGGAAACATTCCACTATTATCCTGTTTCCGAAACCAGTCAAATCTCCCAACACCGCTACGTCCTACAGACCAATTAGCCTACTCCCAATCCTCTCCAAAATCTTTGTAAAGATCCTCCTGAAACGAATCCTACCTTTTATAGAATCCCAAAATCTTCCTTCCCATCAGTTTGGATTTCGTTCACAACATTCCACAGTCCAACAAGGACTCCGAGTGGTCCATCATATTTCCGCAGCACTGGAAAGCAAGCAATATTGCTCGGGTGCTTTTCTGGACATAGCTCAAGCTTTTGACCAGGTATGGCACGCCGGGCTTCTTTCCAAGCTGAAAACCTATCTACCCCAGCCCTTGTACCTAATCCTCCACTCCTACATCTCTGATCGTACCTTTCGGGTTCGCTGTGGTTCAGAATTTTCCAACTCCTACCCAGTTGAAGCCGGTGTTCCTCAAGGTAGCGTCTGGGGTCCCGTGCTTTATGTCCTTTTTACCGCCGATATCTCTGTCCATCCCAATACCTTCCTGGCAACATTTGCTGATGACACCGCCATCCTATCATCCAACTCAGATCCCGAAATAGCATCTTTAAATCTTCAAAGGCACCTCTCCATGATTGAGCACTGGTGTAATAAATGCCGCATCAAAGTAAACGAATCCAAATGCAAACACATTACCTTCACACTCCGCCGCAGATCCTGTCCATCAGTCCACTTTAATTCCATCCACCTTCCTTTTTCAGACACAGTCCGGTATCTTGGCTTTATCTTAGACCGAAGACTAACGTGGAACCCACATACTAAACTTAACAGACAAGAACTTAACCGACGATACGGCCAATTATACAGACTTTTGACCAGAAAATCTCAACTTTCAATTGACAACAAATTACTGATCTACAAGACAATCCTGAAACCCATTTGTAACTACGGACTTGAACTTTGGGGGACAGCAAAATTCTGTAACATCAAACGCATCCAATACTTTCAATCCAAAGTCCTCCGAACAATAGTCGATGCTCCGTTCTATGTAACCACAAAACTCTACATCATGACCTTAATATCCTATTTGTCCTTGACCTTATCCCTGAAAAATTGTCAAAATTCCATCAGAACCTTATCAATCATCCAAATCCCCTAGCCGAATCCCTATCTAGTTCCACTCATCCCTACAACCCTCCTCGAAGGTTGAAGCGGCAGTGGCCCAGAGATCTTTTATAGTATTTATTTTGGAGTTCTGGCAATGGCCAGATTCTCCACTCAAGACATGAGTGTATCTCCACCAGCTTTAGCACCAGTGAGGCGGTTGAGATAGTAGCGCAGGGATTTGGGTTCCACGCCTGATATATTGTATATAAGTATGACTGTATTTTTATGTTTTTAATTTACTTATATTTAGGTTATTTTATCGTTTTTATTGTATATAGTTTTCATTTATTACTATTTAGTTATTATTTTACTTTTGTTAATTTTATTTTTTATTTTTTGTATATACGGTGTGAATGGGTTCATTTATCAATATAATTATTGTCCTTGTGACAGAACATTATATGTCTAAATAAATAAATTTAAAACAAATTCTTAGCTTAAAAAGTAATTTGTTTTATGTTTTAGTTACTTTTTCTGTTTTATCTTATTTTTTATAGTTTGAAATCGGTTCTCAAATCTTAAATTTTATAAACGTTTGGATTTTTAAATTATTGGAGAAAGGCAAACCTTCCACTATCCTCCCCCCAATGGCCTTTGTCCTCAATCTAAATTAACTGAAAACGTAATAAATTAAAAAAATAAAAATAAATAAATAATAAAATAAATAAAAGAATGATAAAAATTAAACAACAATTCTCAACGGAGCTGAAACCTATCCAATTCTTATTAATAATAATTTTCGGGGAATAATTCGCTGAAAACTCAACGGAGAATGACTATCTTTTGAAAAAAAAATTATCCTTCAATCATTTGTTCCATATTTTTTAATTATAATAATAATAATAATAATAATAAAAGGCTTAGTGAACCCGAAGGTTCGATGCCGACACCACCAATCGCTTATTACACACCTCCCTCCACCGTTCGCCGTCCAAACCCAATCCCTTCAGATCGGCTTTAATGCAATCTTCCCACCTTCGCTTCGGTCTACCCCTCGGACGCTTACCATTCGGCACAGCAAATATTAACTTTTTAGGAATTCTCTCGTTACTAAGTCCAACAACTTTACAAGCCCATTTGATTCGCCGCGATGAAATTACCTCAATTATATTACCCGGATACAGTTCACGCAATTCGGCGTTGTGTAACCGTCTGAACTCTCCGGTTAACTCATCCTTCTTCGGTCCGAATATTCTACGCAATACTTTATTTTCAAAAACCTTAAGACGCTGCTCATCCCTTAATGTAAGCGGCCAGGTTTCGCATCCATAAAGAACTGTAGGCAAGGTAATTGTTTTATAGATTCTAATTTTTAAGTTCCGGGACAAGAGGCGCGAACTAAGTAGTTTTGTCACAGAAAAATAATAAGAATTTCCCGCCTTCAGTCTAACCTTAACTTCTTCTTCAATTTCGTTTTTTCTAGTTATCGTAGAACCT